CTGGAGGGCCCTACAGGCAAGGACGGTCTCACTGCCCAGGGGGTCTGGACGGCCCGGCCAGACCCCAAGATGGCGAGACACCCGCCCTGGCATGCCAGGACGAGGCCCGCAGCCCACAGCCCAGCCGGGAGAGGCCGACGTGGCGCGGGCCCGAGGCTCTCCTACCTGAGAAAAGTCGCTGCTCTTTGGCAGAAAGCTGGAGGCGGTGCCCGTGGAGGCATAGCTGGTGTCCAGGCAGGGCTGACCGTTCAGGAGGGCAGCAGGGCTCATGAGCTGGCTGCAGGGACACAGGGGACCCAGGGCCGTGCATGGCTGCAGCCTGGCCTAGACGCTGCTGGGCCTGCTGCCCCAGCAAACTCCTACCAATCCTTCAAAGCCCAGCTTGGCTGTGACCCCCTAGGCCCCTTCCACCCAGGCGCTCCTCCTCCCTCCCGTCCTGGGCCCCCTCCACAGTGAAGCCCACCCAGCCTGCAGCACCAACGCCCTTTCCCTTTCCCTGGCTGGGGCTGGGCCCTCGCTCAGACTGCCCCGGGCAAGGAAGAATAGTCTCTGCGACTTCCCGGGACGAGAGAGCCCCTCCTGCTGGTGAAGCCTGGGGTGCGGTGGGACCGGGACACAGCCCGGGTACGTACTGGCTCTCGCCGGGGAAGGCTGGGTAGGGTGCCGGCGAGTAGGGGTTCCACCAGGAGTAGTGCAGCATGGCGCCCTGGAACAGCGGCAGCACGTTGGAGGCAGGCAGGGCCCCAGGTAGGGAGCAAGGGCCCAGCCCGGGGCTCGTAGCGGGCCCTGGGGCACGTGGTCGCTCAGTGCCACAGAGCCCCTGCCCACCCTGCACTCCCAGCACCCGGGCACTGCCCGTCCCCTGCTGGCGCTCCCAGCACTGGAAACCAGGCTGTGTGCAGAAAGGCCTCTGTGGAGGGGCGAGGGGCCGAGGCTGGGCCAGAAGCGGAGTGGCCACCCACCTGTGCTCCAAGGGACCGGGGCCGCGAGCTCTGCCAGTCACAGTGGGAGAAGGCTCGTGGGGCAGGGCTCCGGGACCTCTTTGGGACGTGGCAGTCGGTGGCCAGGAGGGTGAGCCCGAGGCCAGCTCTGGGCAAGGTGCCCAGCAGCCTGGAAGGCATGCTGGCTTCCAGAGCAGACGGATCTGCTTGCTGCCCCCAAGACCACCAGACACCCTACCCCAGGCCCAGCTCCGCCCCTCGGGGAGGCCCCCTCACTTCCAGCCTCGCCAAGGCCCAGGCGGCCAGAACCACACTCCTCACCGCCTTGTGCCCAGAGGCAGGGCCAGCCGCCACTGCCCCACCACCCCACCCAACCTCCAGAGGACCTGCAGCCCAGGACCAGGATGAGGCACAGGTGGTCGGGTGAGCAGGGGAGCCCCAGGGCTTCCTGGCACAAGACCAAAGGCTGCGGGGCCTCCCCTGCCCGGCAGTCTGCTATGAGCCTGGGCTTGGACCCCTTCCCCTCCTGTCCCGGGGTAGAGACACGAGAGCCCCACAGCCACAGGGCAATCCAGACATTCTCGAGCAGAACTCGGACTCCTCCTGAAAAGACCCAGAGAGCCCAGACTCGGCTGGTCCTGGCAGCAGGAGACTGAGCCATGGGGACTGGGGCCTGGGGCCCCAGGAGGCCAAGGGGTGGCTGAGCCATGGGGTATGGGGCCTGGGGCCCCAGGAGGCCAAGGGGTCCCACCTGCTCAGGCAGCGGTGCAGGCTGAGGCTGGGAGGTGGGGCTGTGGGCACCTCCACCTGTCCAGTACCCCCACGCCTCCCCAGCCCCAGGCTCTGCTGGGAGCTGCCCATCACGGACACCTCAGTCCCATGCAAGCACAGGCTGGCCCTGTGCAGCCTGCCAATCAGAGCCTTCCTCAAGATCGCCTACTGGCAGCCTAAGACATGATTGGCTGAGAGGTGATCAGCTGACCCTCACCCTAACACACCATTGGAAGACAGGCCCTAGTACATGATTGGTCCAGAGATGGACACCTGGCCCTGGCCGGCCAATCAGAGCCTTCCTCGGGATTTCCTACTGGCAGCCAGGGCGGACTGAGATGCGATTGTCCAGAAACGAGCACCTGACCCACGCCGGCCAACCACAGCCTTCCTGGGGTCTGCGACCAGGAGACAGGCTGCTGTCGGCTCCCTAACCTGGTCCCCATCGGAGCCTGTGGGGTGACATCCCAGACACGGCAGCCCCAGCGTGCAGAGCACCGGGGTACCCGCCCACCCTGACAGCCCCAGGTGGGCCCAGGGTCGGTCAGCCTCGACCAGGCTGTGGAGCAGGAGTCCCACAGGCAGCGCCCCGTCCTCTGCAAACTGCCAAGCCTCGCTCTGACCCAGGAATCCTATTTTGGAAACACCCCGGGGACCGACCCCAGGGAGAGGAAGCACAGCTGCGCTATTTATAGCAGCAGAGAACTGGAGTCTCCCCAGGGGCTGGCGACAGGGAGCTAATTACGCAGACGACGGGATGTGGGGCGTGGGGCAAGGGGACAGGCAAGACGGCACGGCGGGTGGGCGTGGGGCAGGGGGCAGGCAGGACGGCAGG